GCAGGCAGAGGATGCAGAGGGCAAGGCAGAGCAGGGGGGCAGCGCAAGGCACCCCAAAACCCCCAGTGCAGCAGGGGGACCCCTGAGGGGACAGCGCAGGGACCCCCATGCACATGCAGCAGTGCCCCCCACATGCACCCCAAAGCAGGGCCGCGCTTACTTGTGCAAACTGAGTCCAGGCCAGGCGGGAGCGGGGGGGAAGCGGGGGGAGCCCTGGTCAGTTTGGGGGGCTCCCCGAGGGGGAGGAAGGACCCCCCCAACACCCCAGAGCTGGTGAAGGGCTCCTTGAGGCACGGGGGGCTTAGGACCCCCCATCCCTGGCCTCCCACCACAGTAGGGGCCACATGTCTTCTCATGATTTTGGGCTCAAAGCCTGTTTCAGCCCATCCTGCTGCTCTGCTCTCACAGCTGGGGGGTCTCTTTGCCCCCCTCAGGATTTGGGGGTACCTGGTGGGCCCCTGCTCCATGCCAGGGACCTGTGCCAATCTCCCAGACCCCAAAAACACCAACGGCACTGACAGCAGAGGGTGGCTGCACCCCCAAGGCCTGGCACCCCCTCACTGGCTCATTGGCACCGAGACCCCTGAACCCCCAATGTCCTCCCCAGCACATCTGGGGGTCACCCCACACTTGGGGGGTCCTCTCTGCCATGTGGCCTCAAGGACAGAGCACATGGAAGGTCCCTTGTGCCCCTCAAGGACAGAACCCAGTGTCACCCCAGGGCCCTGGGGGTCCTTTGGGCCCCTCAGGGATGGAGCCCTGTGTCACTTCACACTCTGGGGGTCCCCTGAGCCCCACAGGGATGGACCCCCTGCCCCACACACAGAACTCCCTGGGCAGCGCCCCCCAGTATTCAGAGCAGGTTTAGGGGGTCCCCCCTGTTCCCCTCGAGGTGGGGTTGTGGAATTGGCAGCCCAGTTCCTCTTGGGGACAAGGACAGCAAGGACAGGGACCCCCAGGCGTGTCCTGCTCTCCCCTTCCTGCCCCAGAGCACTGCAGGGTGCCACAGGGGGATGGGGGGGCTACACTGCAGGGGGACATTGTCACTGTGGGGGGACACTGTCACCGTGGGGAAAAATGTCACTGTGGGGAAAAATGTCACTGTGGGGGACACTGTCACTGTGGAGGAAAAATGTCACTGTGGGGGACACTGTCACTGTGGGGACACTGTCACCGTGTGGCACACTGTCACTGGGGGAATTGGGACTGTGAGGACACTGTCACTGTGGGGGGACACTGTCACTGTGGGGAAAAATGTCATTGTGGGGACACTGTCACTGTGGGGGACACTGTCACTGTGGGGGACATTGGGACTGGGGGGGACACTGTCACTGTGGGGCACACTGTCACTGTGGGGACACTGTCACTGTGGGGCACACTGTCACTGTGGGGGACACTGTCACTGTGGGGACACTGTCACTGTGGGGACACTGTCACAGTGGGGGAAAATGTCACTATGGAGGAAAATGTCACTGTGGGGACACTGTCACTGTGGGGGACATTGGGACTGGGGGGACACTGTCACTGTGGGGACACTGTCACTGTGAGGAGGACACTGTCACTGTGGGGACATTGTCATCGTGGGGGGACACTGTCACCATGGGGCACATTGGAACTGTGGGGGACATCGGGACTGGGGGAACACTGTCACTGTGGGGAAAAATGTCACTGTTGGGGGGACAAATGTCACTGTGGGGGACATTGGGACTGTGGGGGGACACTGTCACTGTGGGGGGACACTGTCACTGTGGGGGACACTGTCACTGTGGGGAAAAATGTCACTGTGGGGGGACACTGTCACTGTGGGGACACTGTCACTGTGGGGTAAAATGTCACTGTGGGGGCACACTGTCACTGTGGAGGAAAATGTCACTGTGGGGACACTGTCACTGTGGGGGGACACTATCACTGTGGGGGACATTGGGACTGTGGGGGACACTGTCACTGTGGAGAAAAATGTCACTGTGGGGGGAAACTGTCACTGTGGGGGGAAACTGTCACTGTGGGGGACATTGGGACTGGGGGGACACTGTCACTGTGGAGGAAAATGTCACTGTGGGGACACTGTCACTGTGGAGGGACACTGTCACTGTGGGGACACTGTCACTGTGGGGCACACTGTCACTGTGGGGGGACACTGTCACTGTGAGGAAAAATGTCACTGTTGAGACACTGTGACTGTGGGGGACATTGGGACTGTGAGGACACTGTCACTGTGGGGACACTGTCACTGTGGGGGACATTGTCACTGTGGGGACACTGGGACTGTGGGGGAAAATGTCACTGTGGGGGAAAAATGTCACTGTGGGGGGACACTGTCACTATGGAGAAAAATGTCACTGTGGGGACACTGTCACTGTGGGGACATTGGGACTGTGAGGAGGACACTGTCACCATGGAGCACACTGTCACCGCGGGTGACATGTCACCGTGCACGCCGTGGTGCTGCCGGGTGCATGGGGGGCTGTTCCCTGCCACGGTGCCAGTGCTGGGGGTCCCGGGGGGTCCCGGGGGGTCCCGGGGGGTCCCGGGGGGCGCCGGGGGTCCGGTGCAGCCGTGTTCCCCCCACGGGCCGGGCCTTACCGCCTCGAACTCGGCCTGGTCATCCTCGGGCAGGTCACTGGTCTCGTACACGTCGGGCTCGTTGCGGGCCTGCGGCACCAGGACCCCCAGATCCCCCTCAGACCCCCAAATCCCCCTCAGACCCCCAGATCCCCCTCAGACCCCCAGATCCCCCTCAGACCCCCAAATCCCCCTCAGACCCCCAGATCCCCCTCAGACCCCCAGATCCCCCTCAGACCCCCAGATCTCCCTCAGACCCCCAGATCCCCCTCAGACCCCCAGATCCCCCTCAGACCCCCAGATCCCCCTCAGACCCCCAGATCCCCCTCAGACCCCCAGATCCTCCTCAGACCCCCAGATCCCCCTCAGCCCCCCAGATCTCCCTCAGACCCCCCTCAGCCCCCCCAGTGCCCTCAGACCCCCAGATCTCCCTCAGACCCCCAGATCCCCCTCAGACCCCCAGATCCCCCTCAGACCCCCAGATCCTCCTCAGACCCCCAGATCTCCCTCAGACCCCCAGATCCTCCTCAGACCCCAGATCCCCCTCAGACCCCCAAATCCCCTCAGACCCCCAGATCCTCCTCAGACCCCCAGATCTCCCTCAGACCCCCAGATCCCCCTCAGACCCCCCTCAGACCCCCAGATCCCCCTCAGAGCCCCCGGTCCCCTCAGACCCCCAGATCCCCCTCAGACCCCCAGATCCCCCTCAGACCCCCCTGGAGCCCCTCAGACCCTCAGATCTCCCTCAGACCCCCAGATCCTCCTCAGACCCCCAGACCCTCCTCAGACCCCCAGATCCCCCTCAGACCCCCAGATCCCCCTCAGAGCCCCAGATCTCCCTCAGACCCCCAGATCTCCCTCAGACCCCCAGATCCCCCTCAGACCCCCAGATCCCCCTCAGACCCCCAGATCCCCCTCAGACCCCCAGATCCTCCTCAGACCCCCAGATCTCCCTCAGACCCCCAGATCCTCCTCAGACCCCCAGATCTCCCCCAGACCCCCAGATCCTCCTCAGACCCCCAGATCCCCCTCAGCTCCCCAGATCTCCCTCAGACCCCCAGATTCCCCTCAGACCCCCAAATCCCCCTCAGACCCCCAGATCCCCCTCAGACCCCCAGATCCCCCTCAGACCCCCAGCTCCCCCTCAGACCCCCAGATCCCCCTCAGACCCCCAGTGCCCTCACACCCCCAGATCCTCCTCAGACCCCCAGACCCCCCTCAGACCCCCAGATCCCCCTCAGACCTCCAGATCCCCCTCAGACCCCCAAATCCCCCTCAGACCCCCAGATCTCCCTCAGACCCCCCGATCCCCTCAGACCCCCCGATCCCCTCAGAGCCCCGGCTCCTCCCGGCCCGGCCCCTCACTCACGATGCCGGGCAGGTCGGCGTACTTGGGGTCGGCCATGGTGGGGGCGGTACCGGGGCCGGTTTTGGGGGTCGGTACCGGTACCGGGGCCGGTTTTGGGGGTCGGTACCGGTACCGGGTTCGGTTTTGGGGTCCCGGAATGGCCGCGCAGGGCCGGGGCGGGGCTGATCTCGCGAGAGCGGCGCGGGGCGGCGCGAGAGGTGAGAGCGCAGGGGCGTGGCCTGAAGGGATGGGCGGGGCCTGGCGGGGTGGGCGTGGCTTAGAGAGGTGGGCGGGGCCTGACTGGGCCGGGGGCGGGGCCTGAAGGAGCAGACGGGGGGGCGACACTGGGGGACAATGGGGGGGACAATGGGGGGACAGTGGGGGGGACAATGGGGGGACAATGGGGGGACAATGGGGGGGACAATGGGGGGACAGTGGGGGGGACAATGGGGGGACAATGGGGGGGACAATGGGGGGGACAGTGGGGGGGCAGTGGGGGGACAATGGGGGGGACAGTGGGTGGACAATGGGGGGACAGTGGGGGGGACAGTGGGGGGGACAGTGGGGGGACAATGGGGGGACAATGGGGGGACAGTGGGGGGGACAAGAGGGGACAATGGGGGGGGCAATGGGGGGACAGTGGGGGGACAGTGGGGGGGACAATGGGGGGGACAATGGGGGGACAGTTGGGGGGACAGTGGAGGGGACAGTGGGGGGACAGTGGGGGGGAGACGCAGGGGGCGACACCGAGGGGGACACACGGGTGGGGGCACACGAGGACACGCACGGGGACACACGTGGGGGGCGCACGGGGGTCAGATGTGGGGACACACGGGGTGGGGGGACACGGTGGGGACCCGGGGGGACACCCGGGACAGACTCACGGGTGTTTGGGGGTCACACGGAGGGGCGGGGAAGGGTCCCCACAGTGGGGAGGGGATGAGTCAGGACCTTCCCGCAGTGAATCAGCATTTTGGGGGGGTCCATCCCCGGGGCTGCGCCCCCCCCCCCTCCAGTTCCGTCCACCTTAAGAGCCGCGGGCGGCTCCACCTTAAGGCGGGGGAGGGGGCGCGGGGGGCGGCCGCCCCCTCCCCCTCCCGCCGGTCCCGGGGCTGCAGTGGCGACAGCGGCGGTCACAGGAGCGGCGACAGCGGCAGCAGCGGAGCGTCAGCCCCGCCCGGCGCCGCCTCCCGCATCCTGCAGCCCGCAGAGCGCATCCCTGAGCCGCATCCTGCATCCCTGAGCCGCATCCTGCATCCCTGGGTACCACCCGCAGCCCTGGGTACCACCCTGCAGTGCTGAGCAGCATCCCTGAGCAGCATCCTGCATCCCTGGGTACCACCCGGGCACCACCCTGCGTCTTTGGGCAGCATCCTGCGTCCCTGAGCAGCATCCTGCATCCCTGGGTACCACCTTGGGCAGCATCCTGCATCCCTGGGTACCACCTTGGGCAGCATCCTGCGTCTTTGAGCAGCATCCTGCATCCCTGGGTACCACCTTGGGCATCATCCTGCAGTGTTGAGCAGCATCCTGCATCCCTGGGTACCACCTTGGGCAGCATCCTGCATCCCTGGGTACCACCTTGGGCACCACCCTGCGTCTTTGGGCAGCATCCTGCATCCCTGGGTACCACCTTGGGCAGCATCCTGCATCCCTGAGCCGCATCCTGCATCCCTGGGTACCACCCTGCAGTGCTGAGCAGCATCCCTGAGCCGCATCCTGCACCCTCGGGCACCGCTGGGCATCCATCCCCGGGTCCCCCCCTGCGCCCCGGTGCCACCCGAGCCTTAGGCCGTGCCACCCCCGTGCCGTGTCCGTGTCCCCCCCGTGTGGCCGCCCCCCGAGCCCGCCATGGCCGAGCCCAGCTCCGAGTGCAGCATCAAGGTGCTGTGCCGGTTCCGGCCCCTCAACCAGGCCGAGATCCTGCGGGGGGACAAGTTCCTGCCCGTCTTCCAGGGGGACGACAGCGTCGTGCTGGGGGTGAGTCAAAGCGGGGGGACCCCCGGGTGAGGGGTGGGGGGACCCCAACTTGGGGGGTGAAGCGCTGCTCTGGGTGTGGCCGCTGCCATCCCACCCCCTCCCCCATTCCCAGTTTGCCCAGTAACGGGGTGGGGGGGGATGTTTACACTGGGCAGAAACGCCCCCCAAAGCAGCCGCGGGGGGGGTGCTGCAGATCCCCCCCTCCCCCCCCGGCCCTGCCCTTTGTTAGGGGCTCATCCGGGGGGCGTCTGAGGACCCCAAAATATCGCCACCCCCTCCCCTACATAACGACCCCCCTTGCCCGGGGGGGGCAGTGGGGTGTGGGCGCGGGGGGGCTGCGGGCGTGGGGAGGGGGTCGTGGGTGGGGGGGGGGGTCCGTGGATGGGGGGGGTCCGTTTATGGGGGTCCGTGCATCGAGGGGGGGCCGTGGATGGGGGGTGCGTGGGTGGTTTGGGGGGTCCGTGGATGTGGAAATTCCATGGGGGGTCCGTGGATGTGGGGGTCCGTGGATGGGGGGTCCGTGGGGGGTCCGTGGATGGGGGAATTCCATGGGGGGTCCGTGGATGGGGTCCGTGGATGGGGGGAATTCCATGGGGGGTCCGTGGATGGGTCCGTGGATGTGGGAATTCCATGGGGGGTCCGTGGATGGGGTCCGTGGATGGGGGGAATTCCATGGGGGGTCCGTGGATGGGTCCGTGGATGGGTCCGTGGGTGGGTCCGTGGATGGGTCCGTGGGTGGGGGAATTCCATGGGGGGTCCGTGGATGGGTCCGTGGATGGGTCCGTGGATGGGGGTCCGTGGATGGGGGAATTCCATGGGGGGTCCGTGGATGGGGTGCGTGGATGGGGGAATTCCATGGGGGGTCCGTGGGTGGTGCGTGGATGGGGTCCGTGGTTGGGGGTCCGTGGATGGGTCCGTGGATGGGTCCGTGGGTGGGTCCGTGGGTGGGTCCGTGGGGGGTCCGTGGATGGGGTCCCGGCCCGGCTGTCGCGGTGCGGCTCTGCCGGCGCAGTGCGGGGGAAGGAGTTGCGGGGGGGGCGTTGCGGGTGGGGGGCGGTGGGGTGGGGTGGGGGGTGCGGGGGGTGCGGGGGGTGCGGGGGGGTCCGTGACCCGCGGTGGGGGGGGCGGGGGGAGTGGGGGCGTGGGCGGCTGCCACCGGCTGTCCCCGTGTCCCCACGGCCGTGAGACCCCGTGTCTGTGTGTCCGTGTGTCTGTGTGTCTGTGGGGTCTGTGGGGTGTGTGGGGTCTGTGGGGGTCTGTGGGGTCTGTGGGGTCTGTGGGGTGTGTGGGGTCTGAGGGGTGTGTGGGGTCTGTGGGGTCTGTGGGGTCTGTGGGGTGTGTGGGGTGTGTGGGGGTCTGTGGGGGTCTGTGGGGTCTGTGGGTTCTGTGAGGGTTGTGGGGTGTGTGGGGTCTGTGGGGTCTGTGGTGGTGCAGAGTGCGAGTCCCTGTGTCACTCCCCCCGTGTCCCTCTGTCCCCCCCCGCGTGTCCCTCTGTCACCCCACGCGTGTCCCCGTGTCACCCCCCGTGTCCCTCTGTCCCTGTGTCACCCCCCGCGTGTCCCTCTGTCCCTCTGTCCCTGAACCCCACGCGTGTCCCTCTGTCCCCCCCCCGTGTCCCCGTGTCCCTCTGTCACCCCCCCCATGTCCCTCTCTCACTGAACACCCCCCGTGTCCTTGTGTCACTGAACCCCACGCGTGTCCCTCTGTCCCTGAACCCCACCCGTGTCCCTCTGTCCCTGTGTCACCCCCCGTGTCCCTCTGTCCCTGTGTCACCCCCGTGTCCCTCTGTCCCTCTGTCCCTGAACCCCACGCGTGTCCCTCTGTCCCTCTGTCACCCCACGCGTGTCCCTCTGTCCCTGTGTCCCTGAACCCCCCCCGTGTCCCTCTGTCCCTGTGTCACCCCCGTGTCCCCGTGTCCCTCTGTCACCCCACGCGTGTCCCTGTGTCCCTGTGTCCCCCCGCCGTGTCCCTCTTGTCACCCCCCGTGTGTCCCTCTGTCACCGACCCCCGTGTCCCTGTGTCACCCCCCCGTGTCCCTCTGTCCCCCACGCGTGTCCCTTTGTCACTGAACCCCACGCGTGTCCCTCTGTCCCCCCCCCGTGTCCCCGTGTCCCTCTGTCACCCCCCCATGTCCCCGTGTCCCTGAACCCCACGCATGTCCCTGTGTCACACGCGTGTCCCTCTGTCCCTGTGTCACCCCCCACGCGTGTCCCTGTGTCCCCAGGGCAAGCCGTACGTCTTTGACCGCGTGTTCCCCCCGAACACCACTCAGGAGCAGGTGTACCACGCGTGTGCCATGCAGATCGTCAAGGGTGAGGGCGGGACACCCGGGACAGCCCGGGATAACATGGGGACAGCACGGGACAGACTGGGACAGCCCGGGACAGACTGGGACAGACTGGGACAGACTGGGGACAGACTGGGACAGCCCGGGACAGACTGGGACAGACTGGGACAGACTGGGACAGACTGGGGACAGACTGGGGACAGACCAGGACAGACCAGGACAGACTGGGACAGACTGGGGACAGCCTGGGGACAGCCCGGGATAACATGGGGACAGCCTGGGGATAGTCTGGGGACACCCGGGACAGACTGGGACAGACTGGGACAGCACGGGATAACATGGGGACAGACTGGGGACAGCCCGGGACAGATTGGGGACAGATTGGGGACATCCTGGGATAACATGGGACAGCCTGGGACAGCCTGAGGACAGCGTGGGGACATCTGGGACAGCATGGGGACAGACTGGGATAACATGGGGACAGCCCGGGATAACATGGGACAGCCTGGGGACACCAAGGGACACCAGGGGACAGCCTGGGACAGACTGGGGACAGACTGGGACAGACTGGGACAGACTGGGACAGACTGGGATAACATGGGACAGCCTGGGGACAGCCTGGGACAGACTGGGGACAGACTGGGACAGACTGGGACAGACTGGGGACAGACTGGGACAGACTGGGACAGACTGGGGACAGACTGGGGACAGACTGGGACAGACTGGGGACAGACTGGGGACAGCCCGGGATAACATGGGGACAGTGTTTGGGGGTCCCCGGGGGTGTTTGGGGGTCCCGGGGGGGTTTTTGGGGGTCCCGGGGCTGTTTGGGGTCCCGGGGGGATGTTTGGGGGTCCCGGGGGGTGTTTGGGGGGTCCCGGGGAGGGGTTTGGGGTTCCCAGGGGCTGTTTGGGGGTCCCGGGGCTGTTTTTGGGGTCCCGGGGGCTGTTTTTGGGGGTCCCGGGTGGGTTTGGGGGTCCCGGGGCTGTTTTTGGGGGTCCCGGGGGCTGTTTTTGGGGGTCCCGGGGCTGTTTTTGGGGGTCCCGGGGGGGTTTTTGGGGTCCCGGGGGGTGTTTGTGGGTCCCGGGGCTGTTTTGGGGGTCCCGGGGGCCCAACCCCCCCTGCCCCCCCAGATGTCCTGGCCGGGTACAACGGGACCATCTTCGCCTACGGACAAACCTCATCGGGCAAAACCCACACCATGGAGGTGGGGGGCACCGGGGGGCACCGGGGGGTACCGGGGGGTACCGGGAGGGTACTGGGGGGTACTGGGGGGTACTGGGGGGGCAACGGGTGGGTACTGGGGGGGCACCGGGGGTATCGGGGGGGGCACTGGGGGGTCTGAGGGGCACTGGGGGCACCAGGGGGACCGGGGATACCGGGGGTACTGGGGATGTCGGGGGGTACCACAGGCTCTGGGGGGGCACTGGAGGGCACAGGGTGGGCAACGGGGGGGCACTGGGGGGCATCGGGGGCACCGGGGGACCGGGGGGCACTGGGGGGTACCGGGGGCACCGGGGGCACTGGGTGGTACCGGGGGGGTCTGAGGGGTACCGGGGGGTCTGAGGGGCACCGGGGGGCACCGGGGGTACCGGGGGGCATCGGGGGTACCAGGGGGGCACTGGGGGGGCACTGGGGGGGGGTACCGGGGGTATCGGGGGGGCACTGGGGGGACACTGGGGGGGCACCGGGGGTACCAGGGGTGTACCGGGGGGCACCGGGGGGTACCGGAGGGGCACTGGGGGGCACCGGGGGGGCACTGGGGGGGACCGGGTGGGTACTGGGGGGGCACTGGGGGGTCTGAGGGGCACCGGGGGTACCGGGTGAGTACTGGGGGGGTACCGGGGGTGTTGGGGGGGCACCGGGGGCACCGGGGGGCACTGGGAGGTCCGAGGGGCACCGGGGGTCTCAGGGGCACCGGGTGGGCACTGGGGGGCACCGGGGGGGCACTGGGGGTATCGGGGGGACACTGGGGGTATCGGGGGGTCTGAGGGGCACCGGGGGTACCGGGGGGGCACTGGGGGGCACTGGGGGGGCACCGGGGGCACTGGGGGGTCTGAGGGGCACCAGGAGGTCTGAGGGGCACCGGGGGTACCGGGGGTATCGGGGGGGCACCGGGGGCACCGGGGGGTCTGTGGGGGGTACCGGGGGGGCACTGGGGGGCACCGGGGGGGCATTGGGGGGGCACTGGGGGGTCTGAGGGGTCCCTGGCATCCCCCCCGCAGGGGAAGCTGCACGACCCGCAGCAGATGGGCATCATCCCCCGCATCGCCCGAGACATCTTCAACCACATCTACGCCATGGACGAGAACCTGGAGTTCCACATCAAGGTGCACTGGGGGCACTGGGAGCACTGGGAGGGACTGGGAGGGACTGGGAGGGACTGGGAGGGACTGGGATGGGCACTGGGGGCACTGGGAGGGACTGGGGAGGGACTGGGAGGGACTGGGATGGGCACTGGGAGCATTGGGAGGGACTGGGATGGGCACTGGGAGCACTGGGAGCACTGGGAGGAGCCCGGGGGGTTACTGGGAGCACTGGGAGGTGCCCGGGAGGGGTTACTGGGAGCACTGGGAGCACTGGGAGGAGCCCGGGGAGGGGCACTGGGGGCACTGGGAGCACTGGGAGGGACTGGGGGCACTGGGATGGGCACTGGGGGCACTGGGAACACTGGGATAGGGACTGGGGGCACTGGGAGCACTGGGGGCACTGGGGGCACTGGGAGCACTGGGGGCACTGGGATGGGCACTGGGGGCACTGGGAGCACTGGGACTGGGAGCACTGGGAGGGACTGGGAGGGACTGGGATGGGCACTGGGGGGACTGGGATGGGCACTGGGAGCACTGGGATGGGCACTGGGGGGGCACTGGGGGCACTGGGAGCACTGGGAGCACTGGGATGGGCACTGGGAGCACTGGGATGGGCACTGGGGGCACTGGGATGGGCACTGGGAGCACTGGGATGGGCACTGGGAGCACTGGGATGGACTGGGATGGGCACTGGGAGCGGCACTGGGGGCCCTGGGAGGGACTGGGAGCACTGGGATGGGCACTGGGATGGACACTGGGATGGGCACTGGGAGCACTGGGAGCACTGGGAGGGACTGGGGGCACTGGGATGGGCACTGGGGGGACTGGGAGGGACTGGGATGGGCACTGGGGGCACTGGGAGGAACCCGGGGGGGGCACTGGGAGCACTGGGAGCACTGGGATGGGCACTGGGAGCACTGGGATGGGCACTGGGATGGGCACTGGGAGCACTGGGATGGGCACTGGGAGGGACTGGGATGGGCACTGGGAGCACTGGGATGGGCACTGAGGGCACTGGGAGCACTGGGGGCACGGGGAGCACTGGGAGGGACTGGGAGCAATGGGGGCACTGGGATGGGCACTGGGAGCACTGGGATGGGCACTGGGATGGGCACTGGGGGCACTGGGATGGGCACTGGGGGCACTGGGAGCACTGGGAGGAGCTGGGATGGGCACTGGGGGCACTGGGATGGGCACTGGGGGGCACTGGGAGGAGCCCGGGGGGGTTACTGGGAGCACTGGGGGCACTGGGAGGAGCCCGGGGGGGCACTGCGGGCACTGGGAGGTTACTGGGAGGTTACTGGGAGCACTGGGAGGAGCTGGGGGGGCACTGGGAGCACTGGGATGGGCACTGGGAGGGACTGGGATGGGCACTGGGGGCACTGGGATGGGCACTGGGGGCACTGGGGGCACTGGGATGGGCACTGGGAGGGACTGGGAGCACTGGGAGGGACTGGGAGCACTGGGAGGAGCCCGGGAGGGGTTACTGGGAGGTTACTGGGAGCACTGGGAGGTGCCCCACCCCCACCCCGACCCCCCCATCCCATCCCCCCCTCAGGTTTCCTACTTCGAAATTTACCTGGACAAGATCCGGGACCTGCTGGACAGTGAGTGGGGAAACTGGGGATACTGGGAGGTTACTGGGAGGTTACTGGGAGGTTACTGGGAGCACTGGTCGGTTACTGGGAGCACTGGTGGGTTACTGGGAGGTTACTGGGAGCACTGTTCGGTTACTGGGATGTTACTGGTCGGTTACTGGGAGCACTGGGAGGTTACTGGGAGCACTGGGAGGTTACTGGGAGCACTGGGGGGTTACTGGGGGGTTACTGGTCGGTTACTGGGAGCACTGGTCGGTAACTGGGAGCCCCTCCCCCCCTCCCCACAGTGACCAAGACCAACCTGGCAGTGCACGAGGACAAGAACCGGGTCCCCTATGTCAAGGTGGGGGTCCCGGGGGGGTCCCGGTGGGGTCCCGGTGGGTCCCGGGGGGGTCCCGGGAGGTCCCGGTGGGTCCCGGTGGGTCCCGGGGGGTCTCAGGGGGGTCCCGGGGGTGTTCCGGTGGGTCCCGAGAGGGTCTCAGGGGGTCCCGGTGGGTCCCGGTGGGTCCCGGGGGTGTCCTGGGGTGTCCCGGAGGGTCCCGGGGGGTCCCTGGGGGGTCCCGGTGGGTCCCGGTGGGTCCCGGGTGGTCCCGGGGCGTCCCGAGGGGGTCCCGGGGGGTCCCGGTGGGTCCCGGGGGTGTTTTGGGCGGTTCCGGTGGGTCCCGGTGGGTCCCGGTGGGTCCCGGGTGGTCCCGGGTGTGTTTTGGGTGGTCCCGGGTGGGTCCCGGTGGGTCCCGGAGGTGTCCCGGGGGTGTTTTGGGCGGTCCCGGTGGGTCCCGGGGGGTCCCGGTGGTCCCGGGGGGTCCCGGTGGGTCCCGGATGGGTCCCCGGGGGATCCTGGGGGTGTCCCGGTGGGTCCCGAGAGGGTCCCGAGAGGGTCCCGGGGGCGTCTCGGTGGGTCCCGGGGGTGTCACGGGGGTGTCCCGGTGGCTCCGGGGGGTCCCGGGGGTGTCGCGAGGGGGCCCGGGTGGGTTCCGGTGGGTCCCGGTGGGTCCTGGATGGTCCTGGGGGGGTCCCGGTGGGTCCCGAGGAGGTCCCGGTGGGTCCCGGTGGGTCCCGCGGGGGGTCCCGGTGGGGTCCCAGGGGGGTCCCGGTTGGTCCCGGGTGGTCCCGGGGGTGTCCCGGTGGGTCCCGGTGGGTCCCGGTGGGTCCCGGTGGGTCCCGGTGGGTCCCGGTTGGTCCCGGGGGTGTCGCGAGGGGTCTCAGGGTGTCCCGGTGGGTCCCGGGGAGGTCCCGGGGGGGTTTTGGGGGGTCCCGGTGGGTCCCGGTTGGTCCCGGGGTGTCCCGGGGGTGTCCTGGTGGGTTCCGGGGGGGTCCCGGTGGGTCCCGGTGGGTACCGGGAGGGGGTCCCGGGGTCTGTGCCCCCCCAGCCCCCCATGGCCGCTCCCCCCAGGGCTGCACCGAGCGCTTCGTGTCCAGCCCCGAGGAGATCCTCGATGTCATCGACGAGGGGAAATCCAACCGGCACGTGGCGGTCACCAGTGAGCGACACCGGACACGGGGGGACATCGGGGGGACACCGGGACACGGGGGGACATCGGGGGCGTGGGGGATATGGGGGGCAGGGGGACATGGGGATATGGGGACATGGGGGGCGTGGGGGGCGTGGGGGATATGGGGGGGATATGGGGACATGGGGACATGGGGATATGGGGATATGGGGATATGGGATATGGGGGATATGGGGACATGGGGACATGGGGATATGGGGACATGGGGATATGGGGACACGGGGACGACATGGGGGGATATGGAGGATGTGGGGAGATATGGGGGGCACGGGGGATATGGGGGGCATGGGGACATGGGAGGACACAGGGAGATATGGGGGGCATGGGGGGACATGGGGGGGCATGGGGGATATGGGGGGCACGGGGGGAGACTGGGGACAGGGGGGACGTGGGGACATGGGGGGCAGGGAGGGCACGGGGGGCAGGGGGAGCATGGGGGATATGGGGGGGACATAGGGACATGGGGGGCAGGGGGATATGGGGACATGGGGACATTGGGGGAAATGGGGGACATGGGGGGGACATGGGGGACACGGGGCCATGGGGGGACAAGGGGGACACGGGTGGACATGGAGGGACATGGGGGACATTGGGGACATTTGGGATATGGGGTGCATGTGGGGCTCGGGGTCCATGGGGGGATATGGGGGACACGGAATGACACGGGGTGACACAGGGTGACACGGGGTGACACGGGGTGACACGGGGTGACACGGAGGACACAGGTGACACGGAGTGACACGGGGGACACGGGGTGACACGGGGGTGACATTGGGGGACACGGGTGACACGGGGGACACTGGGGACACGGGGGACACAAATGACACGGGATGACACGAGTGACATGGGGGGACACGGGGGGACACGGGGTGACACGGGGGACACGGGGGGACACGGGGTGACACGGGGTGACACGGGGTGACACGGGCTGACACGGGTGACACGGGGTGACACGGGATGACACGGGGGACACGGGGGCACACGGATGACACGGAGTGACACGGGGTGACACAGGTGACACGGGCACAGCTTTCCGGGGCTCCCCGTGCTGCCCGCGGGCTCTGGGGCTCCGTGGGACACCCCACGGGAGTTCCGGAGCACCCAAGGGTGCCGGGGCACGGCCGGGGGCCCCGATCTTTTTTTGGGGTGCGGGTCCCCAACGCTGCTGTGCCCACGTACTCTGGGGGCTGTGGGACCCCCGCGGGAGTTTTGGGGCACCCAAGGGTGCTGTCGGTCCCGCTGGGGGCCCCGATCCCTTTTTTGGGGTGCGGGTCCCCAATGCCGCCCTGCCCGCAGGCTCTGGGGGCCGTGGGACCCCCCGCGGGAGTTCCGGGGGTCCCAAGGGTGCTGTCGGTCCCGCTGGGGGTCCCGATCCCGTTTTTTGGGGTGCGGGTCCCCAATGCCGCCCTGCCCGCGGGCTGTGGGGGCTGTGGGACCCCCGCGGGAGTTCCGGGGCACCCAAGGGTGCTGTCGGTCCCGCTGGGGGTCCCGATCCCTTTTTTTTGGGGTGCGGTCCCCAATGCCGCCCTGCCCGCGGGCTGTGGGGGCTGTGGGACACCCCGCAGGAGTTCCGGAGCACCCAAGGGTGCTGTCGGTCCCGCTGGGGGCCCCGATCCCGTTTTTTGGGGTGCGGGTCCCCAACGCCGCCCTGCCCGCGGGCTGTGGGGGCTGTGGGACCCCCCGCGGGAGTTCCGGGGCACCCAAGGGTGCTGTCGGTCCCGCTGGGGGTCCCGATCCCGTTTTTTGGGGTGCGGGTCCCCAACGCCGCCCTGCCCGCGGGCTCTGGGGGCCGTGGGACCCCCGCGGGAGTTCCGGGGCACCCAAGGGTGCTGTGGGTCCCGCTGGGGGTCCCCGATCCCGTTTTTTGGGGTGCGGGTCCCCAATGCCGCCCTGCCCGCGGGCTGTGGGGGCTGTGGGACCCCCGCAGGAGTTCCGGGGCACCCAAGGGTGCTGTGGGTCCCGCTGGGGGTCCCCGATCCCGTTTTTTGGGGTGCGGGTCCCCAATGCCGCCCTGCCCGCAGACATGAACGAGCACAGCTCCCGCAGCCACAGCATCTTCCTGATCCACATCAAGCAGGAGAACGTGGAGACCGAGCAGAAACTCTGCGGGAAACTCTACCTGGTGGACCTGGCGGGCAGCGAGAAGGTGCGTGCGGGCACCCCGGGGTGGGCTGGGGGCACCCTGAGTGGGAGTGGGGAGACCCCGACGTGTGGGGTGGTGACCCCGAGATGGGGGTGAGGGGAATCCCGAGGTGCGGGGTGGGCGGACCCCGAGATGTGGGGTGGGGGGACACCGAGGTGTGGGTAGGGGGACACCGAGGTGCGGCTGGGGCACCCCGAGGTGCGGAGGGAGTGGGGGGAATCCCGAGGTGTGGGGTGGGGGACCCCGAGGTGCGGCTGGGGCACCCCGAGGTGCGGAGTGGATGGGGGGACCCCCGAGGTGTGGATGGGGGGACCCCGAGGTGGGGGTGAGGGGACCCCGAGGAGTGGGGTGGGGGGACACCGAGGTGTGGGGTGGGTGGGGGAACCGTGGGGTGGGGGCACCCCGGGGTGTAGGGTGGGTGGGGGGACCCCGAGATGGGGGTGGAGGCACCCCCAGGTGCGGGCTGGGGGGACCCCCGAGGTGCGCGGACCCCCGAGGTGGGGAAAGGGGCACCCCGAGGTGGGGCTGGGGGGACCCCCGAGGTGTGGGGTGACGGGACCCCGAGGTGGGGATGGGGGAACCCGAGGTGTGGGGTGGGTGGGGGGACCCCGAGGTGGGGGTGGGGGACCCCGAGATGGGGGTGGGGGACCCCGAGGTGTGGGGTGGGAGGAATCCCGAGGTGGGGCTGGGGGAACCCGAGGTGGGGAAAGGAGACCCCCGAGGTGTGGGTGGGGGCACCCTGAGGTGCGGGGTGGGAGAACCGCGGGGTGGGGGGACCCCGAGGTGGGGGGTGGGGGGACCCCGAGGTTACTGGGTGGCACTGGGGGTCACTGGGAGGGCACTGGAGGACACTGGGAGGTTACTGGGGGGCGCTGGGAGGCACTGGGGAGCACTGGGGGACACTGGGGGACACTGGGGGGGGCAGTGGGGGGCACTGGGGAGCACTGGGAGGGCACTGGAGGGCACTGGGAGGGCAATGGGGAGCACTGGGGGACATTGGGAGGGCAACTGGGTGGCACTGGGAGGCACTGGGAGGCACTGGGAGGCACTGGGAGGGCACTGGGGGGACACTGGGGGACACTGGGGGGACACTGGGAGGGCACTGGGGGTGCACTGGGGGCACTGGGAGGTTACTGGGCAGCATTGGGTGGCACTGGAGGGCACTGGGGGGGCACTGGGGGATGGGGGTTTTGGGGGGAGCCCATGGAATTTGGGGGGCTATTGGGGTTTTGGGGGGACTTTTGCACTCTGGGGGACACTGAGGGGCTTGGGGGGTCGGGGGGTTTTTGGGGTCGTTGGGGCCATTTTTGGGGCCATTTTTGGGGCCATTTTTGGGGTTTGGGGCCATTTTTGGGGCCCTTGGGGCCATTTTTGGGGTTTGGGGCCATTTTTGGGGTTTGGGGCCGTGCGGTTTCAGGACGCTCCTGCTGGGGTGGGGGTCTCTGGGGGGCTCCTGCCTGGTGGCACCCTTGGGTGGGGTCTGGGGCACCCCTGGGAGGGGTCCCTGGGGTCGGGGGGCACTCGGGGGTCCCTGAGCCGTGTCCCCCTCCCCAGGTGAGCAAGACGGGGGCGGAGGGAGCGGTGCTGGACGAGGCCAAAAACATCAACAAGTCCCTTTCGGCGCTGGGCAACGTCATCTCGGCGCTGGCCGAGGGCACGGTGCGACCCCCGCGACCCCCGGAGCCCCTCAGGGTCCCCCTCGGGGGTCCTGGGGTGGGGGACACCCCCCTGAGCCCCGTGTGTCCCCCCGAGCCCCCTGCCCCACCCGTGTCCCCTCCAGGGTCCTGCCAGGGGGACAGCCCCGATCCCCGCGTGTCCCCGACCCGAGCCCCCCGTGTGTCCCCCTGAGCCCCCCGTGTCCCCCCGAGACCCCAATATGTGTCCCCAACCCGAGCCCCCCATATGTGTCCCCCCGAGCCCCCCGAGCCCCCCGTGTGTCCCCAACCTGAGCCCCCTGCCCCCCGTGTCCCACTCCCCACTCCCCCCGTGTCCCACTCCCCACGCCCCCCGTGTCCCCCTGAGCCCCCTGAGCCCCCCGTGTCCCACCCCGCGTGTCCCCCCGTGTCCCCCTCCCCCCATGTCCCACTCCCCACTCCCCCCGTGTCCCACTCCCCCTGCCCCCCCGTGTCCCGCCCCCGCGTGTCCCCCCCGTGTCCCGCTCCCCCCGTGTCCCATTCCCCACTTCCCCCGTGTCCCACTCTCCCTCTCCCCCCGTGTCCCACTCCCCCCGTGTCCCTCTCCCGCGTGTCCCACCCCGCGTGTCCCCCTTCCCGCGGGGGTCCCGGGGGTCCCGCTCCCCCTCTCCCCCCGTGTCCCCCTGAGCCCCCCGAGCCCCCTGAACCCCCCGTGTCCCACTCCCCCTCTCCCCCGTGTCCCACTCTCCCCCCGTGTCCCACTCCCCCCGTGTCCCACCCCGCGTGTCCGCCGTCCCGCGGGGGTCCCGGGGGTCCCACTCCTCCACTCCCCCCGTGTCCCACTCCCCCTGTTCCCCTGTGTCCCCCACTCCCCCCGTGTCCCACTCCCCCTCTCCCCGTGTCCCCCCGAGCCCCCCATATGTGTCCCCAACCCGAGCCCCTCTCCCCCCGTGTCCCCCTGTCTCCCCGTGTCCCCCTGTCCCCCCGTGTCCCACTCCCCTCTCCCCCCGTGTCCCACTCCCCTCTCCCCCCGTGTCCCACTCCCCCTCTTCACCCGTGTTCCGCCCCCGCGTGTCCCCCCCGTGTCCCTCTCCCCCGTGTCCCTCTCCCCCGTGTCCCACCCCGCGTGTCCCCCATCCCGCGGGGGTCCGTGGGTCCCACTCCCCCTCTCCCACGTGTCCCTCTCCCCCGTGTCCCCCATCCCGCGTGGGTCCCACTCCCCGCTCTGACCCTCCCCCGTGTCCCACCCCGTGTGTCCCCGTCCCGCGGGGGTCCCACTCCCCCTCTCCCCCTCTCCCCCGTGTCCCGCCCCGCGTGTCCCTCTCCCCCCATGTCCTACTCCCCTCTCCCCCGTGTCCCTCTCCCCCGTGTCCCGGTCCCGCGTGGGTCCGTGGGCCCCTCTCAGACCCCCTCCCCCCGCAGAAGGCGTACGTGCCCTATCGCGACAGCAAAATGACGCGGATCCTGCAGGACTCGCTGGGCGGCAACTGCCGCACCACCATGTTCATCTGCTGCTCCCCGTCCAGCTACAACGACGCCGAGACCAAATCCACGCTCATGTTCGGCCAGAGGTGCTCCCACGGCCCCACGCGTGTCCCCGCGCCCCCCGAGCCCCCCGAGCCCACCGAGACCCCCGAGCCCCCCGAGCCCACCGGGACCCCCCGGACTCGCTGTCCCCCACGCGTGTCCCCGAGACCCCCCAACCGCCCCCACGGAGCCCCAGCAGTGCCTGCTGCGCCTCAACTTCACCCGTGGGGTTCCAGCTGCACCCCACTGCACTCGGTGCACCCTACTGCGCCCCAACTGCACCCCGACTGCACCCAGTGCACCCCAACCGCACCCAATGCACCCCGACCTCACCCAGTGCACCCAACTGCACCCCAACTTCACCCGTGGGGCCCCAACTGCGCCCCAAGTGTCCCCGCTGCACCCCACTGCACCCCACTGCACCCCACTGTGCCCCAAGTGTCCCCCCTGCACCCCAAGTGCCCCCTGCACCCCACTGCACCCCAAGTGTCCTCACTGCACCCCGACCTCACCCGGTGCACCCCAACTGCCCCCCTGCACCCCACCTGCACCCCAACTGCACCCCAAGTGTCCCCACTGCACCCGGTGCACCCCAACTGTCCCCAGTGCACCCCAAGTGTCCCCACTGCACCCCACTGCACCCCAACTGCGCCCCAAGTGTCCCCACTGCGCCCCAAGTGTCCCCACTGCACCCCGACCTCACCCAGTGCACCCCACTGCCCCCTGCACCCCAAGTGTCCCCACTGCACCCCAAGTGTCCCCACTGCACCCCAACTTCACCCGTGGGGTCCCAGCCACACCCCACCGCACCCAATGCACCCCAACTGCGCCCCACTGCGCCCCAACTGCACCCCGACCTCACCCAATGCACCCCAAGTGTCCCCACTGTGCCCCAAGTGTCCCCACTGCACCCCACTGCACCCCAACTTCACCCGTGGGGCGCCAGCTGCACCCCACCGCACCCGGTGCACCCCAAATGTCCCCACTGCGCCCCAAGTGTCCCCACTGCACCCCAAGTGCACCCCACTGCACCCCGACCTCACCCAATGCACCCCACTGCACCCCACTGCGCCCCAAGTGTCCCCACTGCGCCCCAAGTGTCCCCAGTGCACCCCGACCTCACCCAGTGCACCCCAAGTGTCCCCACTGCACCCCACTGCGCCCCAAGTGTCCCCACTGCACCCCAACATCACCCAATGCACCCCAAGTGTCCCCACTGCACCCCAAATGTCCCCACTGCACCCCAACTGTCCCCAGTGCACCCCAAACTCCCCTGGTGTGTCCCAAATGCACTCAGTGCACCCCAAGTCCCCCCAGTGCACCCCAAGTCCCCCCTGCACCCCCGGGTGCTGCGCGGGGGTCCCCAGAGGTGGGAGGGCAGTGGAGGGCAGGTGACCCTGGAATGGCCCTGGAATGACCCGGGAGTGGCCCTGGAGTGGCCCGGGAGTGGCCCGGGAGTGACCCTGGAGCGGCCCCGGTGAGGGGGCGCAGGGGTGCCAGTTTTGGGGTGCCCCCAGGGCCAAGACCATCAAGAACACGGCCTCGGTGAACCTGGAGCTGACGGCCGAGCAGTGGAAGAAGAAGTTCGAGAAGGAGAAGGAGAAGAACAAAGCGCTGAGGGAGACGCTGGCGCGGCTGGAGGCGGAGCTGAGCCGCTGGCGGAGCGGTGAGGGACACCCCGAGATCCGGGAAGGGCACCCCGAGATCCGGGAGGGGCACCCCGAGATCCGGGAGGGGCACCCCAAAATCCGGGGGGCACCCCGAGATCCGGGAGGGGCACCCCAAAATCCGGGGGGCACCCCGAGATCCGGGAGGGGCACCCCGGGACACCCCAACATCCCCCCCAGCCCCGTGGGGACACTGAGGCACAGTGTGAGCCCGGGAGGGGCACCCCGAGATCCGGGGGGGACCCCAACATCCCCCCCGGCCCTGTGGGGACACTGAGGCACAGTGTGAGCCCGGGAGGGGCACCCCAAAATCCGGGGGGCACCCCGGTACACCCCAGCATCCCCCCCAGCCCCGTGGGGACACTGAGGCACAGTGTGAGCCCGGGAGGGGCACCCCAAAATCCGGGATGGGCACCCCGAGATCCGGGAGGGGCACCCCAAAATCCGGGGGGGACCCCGATATCCAGGAGGGGCACCCCGAGATCCGGGGGGGGCACCCCGAGATCCGAGAGGGGCACCCCGAGATCCGGGGGCGACCCCGAGATCCGGGAGGGGCACCCCAAAATCCGGGGGGCACCCCAAAATCCGGGAGGGGCACCCCAAAATCCGGGAGGGGCACCCCGAGATCCGGGGGGGACCCCAACAGCCTCGTCTTTCCCCGGGGGAGTCAGAGCTGCCGGGGGACCCCCAAAGCCGGGGGGCACCCCCAGATCCGGGGGGACCCCAACATACCCCAACATCCCCCCCAGCCCTGTGGGGACACCGAGGCACAGTGTGTGCCCGGGAGGGGCACCCCAAAATCCGGGGGGGACCCCAACACACCCCAACATCGCCCCCAGCCCTGTGGGGACACTGAGGCACAGTATGTGCCCATGAGGGGCACCCCAAAATCCGGGGGGCACCCCGAGATCCGGGAGGAGCACCCCGAGATCCAGGGGGGACTCCAGTGCACCCCAACATCCCCCCCAGCCCTGTGGGGACACTGAGGCACAGTGTGTGCCCGTGAGGGGCACCCCAATACCGGGAGGGGCTCCCCGAGATCCGGGGGGGGACCCCGAGATCCGGGGGGGGCACCCCGACATCCGGGAGGGGCACCCCAACAGCAGGGAGGGGCACCCCGAGATCCAGGAGGGGCACCCCAAAATCCGGGGGGGACCCCGAGATCCGGGAGGGGCACCCCGCTACCGGGAGGGGCACCCCGAGATCCGGGGGGGACCCCAACAGCCCCCCCAGCCCTGTGGGGACACTGAGGCACAGTGTGACCCCAGGAGGAGCACCCCGAAATCCGGGGGGGACCCCAACAGCCCCCAGCCCTGTGGGGACACTGAGGCACTGTGTGTGCCCGTGAGGGGCACCCCAAAATCCGGGGGGGGACCCCGAGATCCGGGAGGGGCATCCCGAGATCCGGGAGAGGTACCCCGAGATCCGGGGGGCACCCCGGTACCGGGAGGGGTACCCCAAAATCCGGGGGGGACCCCAATATCCCCCAGCCCCCCGAGGCCGCATCTTTCCCCGGGGGAGGCTGAGCTACCGGGGGACCCCCAAAACCGGGGGGCACCCCCAAATCCGGGGGGCGCTGAGGCCGTGTCCCCCCAGGCGAGGCCGTGCCCGAGACGGAGCAGCTGAGCGAGGCCGAGGCGGGCACGGGCCCGGGCGGGGACCGGGGGGGGGTCCCCGAGGAGCCCCCCGCGAACGACAACAGCTCCTCCATCGTCATCCACATCTCGGACGAGGAGCGCCACAAGTACGAGGAGGAGATCCGCAAACTCTACAAACAGCTGGATGACAAGGTGGGACCCCCGGGTGGGTGGGGACCCCCGGGTGGGTGGGGACCCCCGGGTGGGTGGGGACCCTCAGCTGGGTGGGGACCCCCAGCCATGTGGGGACCCCCCAGACCCCTCTGGACCTGCCAGGGACCCCCATCATCCCTGAGCACCCCACGACTGGCATCTCCCAGTTCCCCTCTGGCATCTCCCAGTTCCCCCAGTTCCCCCCTGACATGTCCCAGTTCCCCCAGTTCCTCTCTGACATCTCCCAGTTCCCCCCTGGCATCTCCCAGTTCATCTCCCAGTTCCCCCCTGGCATCTCCCAGTTCCCCTCTGGCATCTCCCAGTTCCCCCCTGGCATCTCCCAGTTCCCCTTTGACATCTCCCAGTTCCCCTTTGACATCTCCCAGTTCCCCTTTGACATCTCCCAGTTCCCCCCTGGCATCTCCCAGTTCCCCTCTGGCATCTCCCAGTTCCCTCTGACATCTCCCAGTGCCCCCCTGGCATCTCCCAGTTCCCCCCTGGCATCTCCCAGTTCCCCCCTGGCATCCCCCAGTTCCTTCTCACATCTCCCAGTTCCCCTCTGACATCTCCCAGTGCCCCCCTGGCATCTCCCAGTTCCCCCCAGCATCTCCCAGTTCCCCCCTGGCATCTCCCAGTTCCCCTCTGGCATCTCCCAGTCCCCCCCTGGCATCTCCCAGTTCCCCTCTGGCATCTCCCAGTTCCCCCCTGGCATCTCCCAGTTCCCCCTGGCATCTCCCAGTTCCCCCCTGGCATCTCCCAGTTCCCTCTGGCATCTCCCAGTTCCCCCCTGGCATCTCCCAGTTCCCCCCTGGCATCTCCCAGTTCCCTTCTGACATCTCCCAGTTCCCCCTGGCATCTCCCAGTTCCCCCTGGCATCTCCCAGTTCCCCCCTGACATCTCCCAGTTCCCTCTGACATCTCCCAGTTCCCCCCTGGCATCTCCCAGTTCCCTTCTGACATCTCCCAGTTCCCCCTGGCATCTCCCAGTTCCTTCTCACATCTCCCAGTTCCCCCCTGGCATCTCCCAGTTCCCCCTGGCATCTCCCAGTTCCCTCTGACATCTCCCAGTTCCCTCCTGGCATCTCCCAGTTCCCCCCTGGCATCTCCCAGTTCCTCCTGGCATCTCCCAGTTCCCCCCTGGCATCTCCCAGTTCCTCCTGGCATCTCCCAGTTCCCCTCTGGCATCTCCCAGTTCCTTCTGACATCTCCCAGTTCCCCCCTGGCATCTCCCAGTTCCCCCCTGGCATCTCCCAGTTCCTTCTGACATCTCCCAGTTCCCCTCTGGCATCTCCCAGTTCCCCTCTGGCATCTCCCAGTCCCCTCTGACATCTCCCAGTTCCCCCCTGGCATCTCCCAGTTCCCCCCTGGCATCTCCCAGTTCCTTCTGACATCTCCCAGTTCCCCCTTGGCATCTCCCAGTTCTCCCCAGCATCTCCCAGTGCCCCCCTGGCAACTCCCAGTTCCCCCTGGCATCTCCCAGTGCTCCCAGTGCCCCCAGTTCCCCCCCGGTGACCCCCTGTGCCCCCTGTGCCCCCTGTGCCCCCTGTGCCCGCAGGATGACGAGATCAACCAGCAGAGTCAGCTGATGGAGAAGCTGAAGCAGCAGATGTTGGACCAGGAGGAGGTGCTGGTCCTGCCCCCACCTGTGCCCCCCCAGGGTCTGACCGACCCCCCTGGGACCCCCCCCAGAACCCTGGGTGCCACCTGGACCCCTCTGGGACCCCTCTGGGACCCCTCTGGGACCCCCCCAGGGACCCTCAGGACCCCTCTGGGACCTCCACCGTGACCCTTGGGACCCCCACTCTGACCCCTGGAACCCCCACTGTGACCCCTGAGATTCCCTCCATGACCCCTGGGACCCCCACTGTGATGTCTGGGCCCCCCACTGTGACCCTTGGGACCCCCACTCTGACCCTTGGGACCCCCACCATGACCCCTGGGATGCCCACCAAGACCCCTGGGACCCCCACCATGACCCCTGGGACCCCCACCATGACCCTTGGGATGCCCACCATGACCCCTGGAACCCCCACTGTGATCCCTGGGACCCCCACTCTGACCCCTGGGACCCCCACTCTGACCCCTGGAACCCCCACTGTGACCCCTGAGATTCCCTCCATGACCCCTGGGACCCCCACTGTGATGTCTGGGCCCCCCACTGTGACCCTTGGGACCCCCACTCTGACCCTTGGGACCCCCACCATGACCCCTGGGATGCCCACCATGACCCCAGGGACCCCCATTCTGACCCCTGGGACCCCACCATGAGCCCTGGAGCCCCCACTCTCACCGCTGGGACCCCCACTCTGACCCTTGGGACCCCCACCATGACCCCCGTGTCCCCCTCCAAGATCCCTGTGCCCCACCATGACCCTTGGGACCCCCACTCTGACCCTTGGGACCCCCACTCTGACCCCCGTGCCCCCCACCATGACCCCTGGGACCGTACTCTGACCCCTGGGACCCCACCATGACCCCTGGAACCCCCACTCTGACCCTTGGGACCCCCAACATGACCCCTGGGACCCCCACTGTGACCCCTGGGACCCCCACTCTGACCCTTGGGACCCCCACCATGACCCCCGTGTCTCCCACCATGACCCCTGGGACCCCCACCGTGACCCCTGGGACCCCACTATGACCCTTGGGACCCCTACCATGACCCTTGGGACCCCCACTCTAATCCCTGGGACCCCCACTCTGATTTCTGGGACCCCACCATGACCCCTGAGACCCCACCATGACCCCTGGGACCCCCACCACAACCCCTGTGCCCCCACCATGACCCCTGGGACCCCCACTCTAATCCCTGGGACCCCACCATGATGTCTGCAACCCCCATCATGACCCCTGAGATTCCCTCCATGACCCCTGGGGCCCCCACCGTGACCCCTGACACCCCCACCATGACCCCCATGCCCCCCACCACGACCCCTGTGTCCCCACCATGACCCCTGGGACCCCCACTCTGACCCCTGGGACCCTCACCATGACCCCTGGGACCTCCACCATGACCCCTGGAGCCCCCACCACAACCCTAGTGCCCACACCATGACCCTTGGGATGCCCACC